GAAACGTCAGCCTTCCTGCTCCTCTGATGCTGCTTGGCCTGCTGTGTTCATCCAGCCCTACATCTTGTTATTTCAGATTCTCCAGCATCTGCAGTTCCTACTATCAAAGAAAGGGTGACTTGGTGACAGAATACCGGCCTCTGTGCAGTTATTTCAATTGTTTTGAACATTTTGCTGAAGTGAGTGAGAATGCCTTACACAATGAATCCAGTGTCTTGGAGCAAGTTAAACTTGGTGTGCTCATATATTTCTAGCTGAAACGAGCCTTACAGGAACTAACAGACAAAAATAGAAATTGCTGGAAAAGCTCAGCAGGTCTGGCACCATCTGTGGAGAGAAATCAGAGTTAACATTTCAGGCCAAGTGACCTTTCCTCAAAACCCCACGGAAACTAAAGCAGGTCAAACATAAAATGGAATGATGCTCTTAATCATCAAGTGTTGAGGCTGCTAAGTAACTTGAGCCATCTCGTGGGCAGCAATAACTTATTTTAAAACAGGAGCAGGCACAGGCAGATGTGCTGTTGTGTGCATTCCCATGTCAGCAACTAGACAGCAGTGTGCATCAGTGTGGCTTGACTTTAATAGTGGCACAACCATGTAGTGAAGCTGCTGTTAGGGTAGGGGAAAAAAAAGAAAAATTATATAACCCAGAGATTAGAATCTCCTCATTTGAGGACTGACTCCGAGCTGGCTGGCCACAGCCAGTGTACTGTGCGCTAGTAAAGAAAAGGGTGACTTGGTGACAGACCTGGTCTCTGTGCAGTTATTTCAGATACCATCCAGGGCAAAGCTTCCACTTGTTTGGCACTACATTCACAAACATCCACTTCCTTCACCATCGACACTCAGTAGCAGCAGTGTGTTCTTATCTGCAAGATGCACTGCAGAAATTCGCTAAAGATCCTTAGACAACTCTTTCTAAACCCACAACCACTTCCCCCTTAAGAACAAGGCGAGCAGATACATGGGAACACCAGTAACTGAAAGATCCCCTCCAAGACACTCACCATCTTAAC